CATTTAGAATCGTAGTGTGTGTGCGTGAGCAAAAAAAAAATTAAACGTATTTTCAAGTTTTCTTTATTTCTAAGATTTATTGTATTTACCAGTGGTTGTCCTTAAATAAATAAAATAAAAATAAGTGTTGCGTCACAACACTTGCGTCACATCACACTAGTGATTGCAGTTGGTAAATATTCTATCGACTATCGATTAAATGTTGGTTACGCTTAAGCAATAAATAGAGGAAGTTGTTTCATTTGAATCGTCATCGGCCCAGCTTTGGTAACTGATGGGCACAGGTTTATTTGAATTGTCAATTTTTGTAATAAAAAAATAGGTGCACTATATTTACAACTATGTCTATTAAAAACATAAAGAGGAGACATATTTTAAAGTTTTTCATTTTAATGCAATGCAGATAATCAAATCGATAAGAAAGGTGTGAGTATAAAAATGGCGGCTGATAGGGTAGAGTGGAAGAAAAGTACGTGTTGTTCCGACCCCACCTAGCGTGGGATAAGCACAGGAAGAAGAAGAAGAAGATAGATAATCAAATCTGACTGTCCTTATTAAAATGTATATGAATAAAAATTGGATTCGGTACTACTGCAAAATAAGAATAAAGAAGGCAATAACGCAATTAGTAATCACTAGAACGTCGTAACATTTACAATCCAGACATTTTTGGCAAAATTTCACCTTGTTTTCACAATCTATCGATAAAACTGTCGACAACAGCTACATGACTATTTAAAATTTTATGAAAACTGGCTACCCTGCAAATGTCATTTTAACACGTCTTCAAAAAAACAGACCACTATAATTAAGAATTCACTTACCAGGAATATTATTCCTCAGCCAATGGTTCCTTTGAAGGTCGACGTACTTTATCAGAAGAGGGTAGAAGGAATAGATATCGCGCACCAACAGCTGCCAATCTTCTTGGATTTGAGACTCCACTTGTGATGTATCGTCAGTGGAAGACTGTAATAAAATAAAAAGTCAAAAACTATAACTCAAGTATTATTCGGTATTATTTAGCAATTGAAAGGGTACTTAAGTTACGTTAGACGTCAAAAGACACTAGATGGCATTGATTGATTTTACATTACACCTAAAAAACATCCTATGATTTTGGAATCTATATCGCGTATTATTATTTTTTCAAATAAACAAACGTTTTGAGCTATTTACAGTGCTCCAAATCTGCAAATATTTTTAAAATCACTGGTCATTGTAATTGCAATTATGATAATATCTGTTATCTAGTTGCAATCGCAACTGAGTCTCAATAGTGTGTCAAAGGAACGGCAGTGATGGCATTCATTCTGAATGAATCACTAACGATCGATGTTAACACTACCATGGAAATTACTATGCACATGTTAATGACATCTCTGTCAGTCTTCTGGTAGCTGTAATGGTAGCTGCCTCAGTGAAGAATCTTTATTTAATATATTTATTTTATAGGAAATGAAACTATTTTTTCGGATTTAAATAGCGTATATTTGTTTTTTCAAACAACCGACGTTTCGGGCCCTTTAATGGTCCCATGGTCACGGTTGACTGAGGTGGTACAGTCTTCAACCAGTTATGTCTAATATTAATGCAAACCACCCTATTTTTTCACTATAGTTACAATAGTTATTAATTAAATACCTTATTATTCATTTTACAAAAAAAAAATAGTAATGTTAAATTCTATATAAAATGTTAAATTATATAAAAATTCATTCAATAAAATTAATTTGTAAAACTTAATATAGCGTAAATTGGAATGTTTTTCTTTGTAAAATTAAAAATAAGGTATAATAACAAAACAAAAAAGTAATATAAAAATATTAAATTATTATAAACGATACAATACGATAAAATACTTAGATAAATACATATTTCATAATATAACAACTAAGATATAGGTGGAATAGTAGATAAATAATGCTCTTTAACTTTCACTTTAAAAATAGCTAACGATTTACTTTCGTGAAGAGTAATAGGAAGTGCATTCCAAAGCCTGACCGCATGAAGAGTGAGAATAGAAACCGGAATTGAAGGATGGAAAAGATGGGACCTAAGAAAGCTGAAACGCTCTTTCAGGTGCCCGGGAAACACAGGGTTATATAAAATATTATAAAGAATGAACACAATATGAAAATTCCTGCGGAGACGGATGGGAAGCCATTTGAGCTGATATTTAAACTGTGGCAATTTTGTGACAAGTCTAGGAACTTGTAAAATTAAAATCATCGAACCATTTATATGTACTACTGCTGGGCACGGGTCTCCTCTTAGGCGAGGGTTTAGGCTATAGTTCGCCATCCTGGCCCAATACGGGTTGTGAACCTTCTTCGACGTACAGGTTTTTTCACCATAAAGTTCAAGAATTAAATTTCGCACACGGCCTCGGCTTGAGAGACGGCAGGTCAAACCGTAAGGGCTCATGCAGAGAGCAGGCGCCAGCGCGGCAGCGTATGCGGGCACGCGGGTCTTGGCGTCATCCCTTTCACAGTGCCAAAGCGGCTACGAGCGTGTACATCCACTTGTCGTAATCGCAAACAGATGCTAGACGCTGGACCAAGCACTGTGAAAGGTTCGGGCGGACGGAGCCAATAGGTCTACACGGCCACTGAACGTAACGAGCGTCTACGTACATTTGATTTACATCCACCCGCGCCCGCCGCCACTCTGAATAAGGCCTTAGTCTACCACGGCATAAAAATTAATACTATGAGTTATAATTGATTGTTAGTGTGACAAACAGCACGCAAAAATCATACCTTAATAAATCCTCTCAAACTCTCTTCCTTATGGAACATATTGTCTGTCCTCTTCCTGACCCTCTCAGCCAATGGCAAGAAGGAGTCCCTCAAAAGTTCCTCCGAGCTATTAATAATAATCTGCTGCGTGTATGTTGCGATACGGGTCATCCAAGGAGCGCTTTCATTGCCTATATTTTTCTTAATCAGTTTCAGAACGTTTTTCAGCAGTTGGTTCATATGTTCTGCAGTTACCATTGTTACGTGGTTTCTGGAAGTTGGAATATAAATTTCTGGATCAATTAATGGTTGACGATTTCACCATAACAAAAATGGTGAAGGTGTGCCTCTGGTATGCCTTATCAAAGAAATTGAAATTTTTTAGTTTTTTATTGAATGTTACAATGTTTCACCACCATGATATTCAATTGTTTTTGTGAAATGACCAGTAGTTTGTTATAATTATTAATACACAAAGATCTAACAATTAGAAAAAATCCTTCGATCCGGTTGGATTCGAACCAACGTCTTTCAGCAAACTGTGCCCGACACTAATCCAATTAAGCCATATTGAGTTATTCCCCCAACCCCCTCTAATCGGTTTTTATGTACCTTATTTAGTTGCAATTCTGTTGTTAAGCAAAATCAGCTTAATATTTTTAGCCAAAAAAAAGTTCGGTGCTAATATCCTCAGAAGTTGCCGAAATGTAAATGGGTTAGTTATTACAAGGTAGGTTTTAGGCACTTATGCCTTTTTACAATTTTAACGGGGAGTTTTACCGCGTATCTTTTTTTATCAGTTGCATGAATTATTTATTTAGTAGCAATGTTAGCAAGCAGTAATGATAGCATTACCGTGTTCCGGTTTTGAAGGGTAAGGGTGCTAATTACCGGCACATGGGACTTATCAACTTATGTCTTAGGGTGATGGGCGCTGTGGTAGTGCCCGTGAGGGGCATCTTTCAATCTTTGCGATTTAAAGCTCTGAGTGGCACTGCAACTGTTAAGGACAGGCGTGTAGTTTACCAACAGGCACATGACTAGTTCGTCCCGTCACTTTATATTTAAAAAAAGATGATCGGAGATCTGCTAGAAGTCTAGCGGTAATTCGATCACCAATTTACATTATTACGGATTTCGCGTTAACCACAACCGGAACTCGAAATAGTTGACTATCCGCCGTAATGCTTCCAATTCAATGTTTTATTTGCACAGTCCAACCTGTGAGTACCAGACAAACAAAATTGGCTCCGGCGTCACTATAAAGAACATCGAAACTTATGTCAAGTTAGAAAAGTTCTTGTCTTAAAATGATTTTATCGGGAATCGAACCCGAAACCTCATGAAGGACCTAGAACGTTAACTCACGAGGTCATCAGTTTCCGTGTGTGTAATAATAAATATTTTAGTGTATCTTTGTGTCAATTTTCTGCAGTCATCGGTATCCACTAATGCAATGGTACTTTTATAGTTTGTGGTAACTCACCCAGCTGTAGGAGTAACATTATCCGGCCCCTGTGCCCACCAGAACGGCAAATAAGCGCACAGCAATGGCAACACCACATCGATAATATGTGGAGCCTCGTTGTACGTCTTGTCCGATTCGACGAATTGGTCAACTTCACCCAATATCGTTTCCAACGTTGGCATGCTTTGTTCCATTTTGGCCATTACATCTGTGAAAATACGAGTGTTTTAAAATAGACGAAGAGAAGAAAGAGACTAAAGGTGATCTTGACCTCCGACACCATAAACGCCATTATTTTCTTGCGGTAATTACACAAGTGTGCAACTACAACTCCATCAGCTCATTCTTTTTACCATCAGACATTCAAGCGTACGGCGGGGTATCATCCCTACTTGGTAAATAGGAGTTATTTCAGGCGTACTAAGTGCTTTTCGTCATCTTTTATTATGCGCAAAGCCCAGGTATGGAATTCCCTGCCTGCGACTATGTGAGTGCAAGTAGGGGTTGTATACCTGAGAATTTTTAAGGTACGACAGAATAGGCATCTTTTTGGCGAACTTGTTCAGCTCGAATAGTTCAGTTTTATATATCCCCTATAAAACATTAATCCTAATAAATACATACCCTGAGCTTCTAAAGAGTGGTCAGCGATACGATTCAGCAGCGAAAACTGGTTGTGTTTGTTAAGATGAGGCTCCAAAAACGCCACCGGGAATGTTGAACTGAACGCACCAAGACACGAACCCTGAAACCCAAAAGCAATGGTATTGAGCTGGAAATACGGGGTAGCATTTTCTTGGGGTTTGTCTCATGTCAGAGGTTGGACAACATCTCTATCTCCACCTTTTTTATGATATCAAGTGATAGGACGAACAAGTTGTGCGCCTGATGGTAAGCTACACGTCTGTCCATAACAGTTGCAGTGCCACTCAGAGCTTTAAATCGCAAAGACCTGAGGGGCACTGCCACTGCGGCCGTCACCCTGAGACATAAGTTGACAAATCCCATGTACCTGCAATTCGAAAAATTCATTAGATCAGACTGGATTCGAACCTTCCATCACTTCGTTGTACTTCGCCGTACGTAATGTGTAGGCTGATGATGATCAATCGTTACTTACCAAAGCAGGCTTGTGTCTTTCAATCTCAGTCTTGAGATACTTCCTATCGTGAGTGAGTGTTGCGTCAGTGCCGAGCGCGTACAGTGAACCTAACATCTTGTATGATGCCACCTGGATTTCGTCCACTAAAACAAACATAATGGCAAATAAGTGACAGAAGTGGTAGTAAAAATTCATTTTTAACCGACTTCAAAAAAAGGAGGAGGTTCTTAATTCGACTGTATTTTTCTTTGTTTCGCGATAATTTCGGCGAAACGCTTTTGAAGATTTTTTTTGTCGGAAAGAAGGTACCTCATTAGGGGATGAATCCGGTTTCGCGTACTTTCCGGTAACCGATTTCAATAAAACTTGGCAAATAGATGAAATTCCACGATCTTTTGAGTACAGTTTTTTTTAGTACTCTGAACTGAGATTATTATTAATTATTATCATGAGGTATTACTGCCTTAATATTCATTTATTTTTAGTGAAATTACTTTACAAGTTTGTTATAATTATTAAAACAACTATCGAACACAAAGAAAAAATATTTCGATCTGACAGGACTCGAACTACCGGCGCTATACCAACTGAGCTACTGGGATTGAGCTAGCATAGCTTATGGAATTTTCTAAGTGTTTTTTTATAGATCAACTGCCTATGCGTTGCCGGCCTTTGAGAGCCCTTTGACTCGCTTTTTGAAAAATCCCATGTCAAAGCGCAAATCAAATGTGTGTCCTACGTATTAGCCAAAGATAGACCAGAAATATTATTACAATACAGTTTTTTTTTACACTGACGCTACAGTACTCTGAAACTCTGTCCAATGAAAAATAATTTCACCCTATATTATAAGTCTCTACACGTAAGTAGTTCCGTAGGCTATAAAATTGTGAAATAAATATAGTTCAACAATAAAAAAATTGCAATAAAAATAACTCTATTACCTATGTTACCTACTATGTTATCTTTCTATTTTTTCCTTTAATGGCTGTTTTACAATGAAACTTCAGTGTTTACTGGTATTTTTCTTATATTTTTATTTTACCGAATGTATGTTAAGGAATGTTAATTACAGAGACCAAGGCCTGGGCAGAAGACAGGTCAATCACACTTCTTATATAAGGCGCGGGAAGAACTACGCTAATGTGCTTAATAAACAGGTGAGAAACAAATAATATTTTCTTTAATACACACAAAGTAGTATTTATCTACAAGAGGGTGTAAAAAAAGGGATTTGTTCCTTTCGATTACAACACTTCACCCACTACAGTCCTTATATATGTACATATACCTATCTCTTTCGCTTCTCAACTTACGTCTATCTTTTCATTCACGCTAATTTATTTTTGTTACTATTGACGGCATCTTTTTTTTTATCACGCGAGTTTACCAGTTTAGGCAGAGACTGTACATATCCACCAGCATATACTATACCTTTCTAGCTTCCTGCATTCAAATAAGTGATTTCATTCACGGCCCTTTGCGATCATCTGAATATTTTCCGGTTTATAAATCATAGTAGAAAAATCGTCAGCAGAAATTGTGAGTCGCCATGGTTTATTATAATGGTAAGGAAGCACTGGTTAGAGTGGTGAACTACAAGGCTACAATAATCAAAACGTGATGTTTTCAACTCAATTGCCCTAAAAATAAATATTAGGCAATATCACATACGTTGCTCTGATTCCAAAGTAAGTAGTCAAAGCATTTGTAAAATGGAAATGGGAAACAACGACGGTACAATAAACAACAAAACCCGAGACAATATAGAAAAATTAGTTTCTACACTGACATAGATCGAACATGGGATCTCAGTGATGGCGACGCCATGAAAACATTTGTGCAAGCTACTTGACCACTGAGGCCGTCAAAGTTTTCATACCCCAGATGATTTTCAAATGACTTATGTACCAAGTGGCGTGCTGCACCTGCTGAAGTGTCTTAACATTCGTCCAGTGAGACTACGGAATGGCAAACTAGTGAAGAATTTATTAGCTTTTCATAGAATTAGATGTAGTGTGATCAGTTTTAACGTTACTAACAGTATTAAACCTTAATGGATTCATAAGTTTATTTTTTCCTAAAGGGTAAATATATGTATATATGTAATAGGCCTAGCATAAATTGATAATTATATCCAATCAAGACTATTATTACATTTAGTAAAATGGAAAACACAAACAAAATAAAAAAATCTTCTTGTAGACCAAAATACAGGACACAATAATTACAATAATGGGTTTACGTGCATAACAAATCAAAATTAAATTATGGAATAAAAAAATAAAAAAAGAACAATAGCAAAAATATTAAATTACTGCAGACTATATAAATATATAGATAAATATATATTTCATAATATCTATAAAATGGATGGAACAGAGGATAAATCGAGGAGAAATCCTTGACTCGCATTTTAAAGATAGATAAGGATTTACTATGATGTACAGTAATGGGAAGTGCGTTCCAAAGTCTAACCGTATGAAAAGTAAAGGAGTGAGAATAAAAATCGGAATTGAATGACGAAAAAGGTAACTAGAACCTAACGAGAGAGTGACAAGTCTTATCTTGGGACTTGAGAAAGCTGAAAAGTTTCAGATACTTGGGAGGCAAATGCTTATTTATAATGTTGTAAAGAAGACAGACGAAATACAAATTCCGGCAAATGGAAAGCCAATTAAGCTGACGATAGTGTGATTCGATCATATTTACGCAAGCCAAAGATGAACCTTATACATAGATTTTTGCAACCGTTCAAGCTAATTTAGCAGTTCTTCAGTAGCATCTAAATAGTAGGAATCAGCATAGTCTAGGAAGGGTAAAATAAGAGCTAAAGTTAAACAGATTTTAGTAGTGTAATGTAAGATTAGTTCATAAGTGTGTGCGTGTAGCGATTCCGATTTTGATACTATTGTCGCTTGATACCATTTCCATTGGTTTGATTGTCCGTGTGTGAAACTAAATTAAAAATATAATTTTCAGCTAAGAAGAATCTTTGATAATTCTACAGAAGAAAGAAAACAGGCAATTTTTGGGGATGTTATCAAAAACATTACACGCGTTAACGATGTATTAGAAGAGTTAATAAAAAATTATGAAAGACTTCAACAAATATATAAAACTAAGGACGACGAATCAACGAACGAATCTTCTGATATGGAGATTGATGACATGTATAAGCAAAGGATAACCAGAACGAAGGAACCAAATAATGAAATTGGCGCTAAAGAACCCGTTGGTATAACACAGACGTTTTTCGATGAAAGCGAAGACATAGAAGTCGCTCCTAAGGTGGATAACGTAGACAAGAAAGGTAGTAACACGATCTGAATCAATTTATACAGGACTAGGACTATATTACTTACAACATAAACAACAACTTTTGCTGCTGTGGGCGTCCGTACACGGGCGCGCGGCTGGCGTGCATACATACAAGCCACTCTTCTACGTTTATTTGAAGTTATACTATCCTTGTTTTATTATACTATGAGATGAATACGAATACCGAATATTCCGCTGCCGAATGTTCGGCGTAAGATCTGTGCATTTCACACGCGATCTGTTACGACCTGTCTTATTGAGGTGCATGCGGGGATAACGGGGATTGTTGAAAAATAATAAAACGGTAGACAACACACGACAGTTTCTGAACCTGTTTTGAGTAAGTCGTTACAGATAATATGCAAAATGATGAGGATGTGGAGAAAAGTTCTATTGCACATGAGATTGATTTTTATTTGAAAACCGTTCGCCTAGATCACACGGCAGATCTTTACAAGTGCTGGTCAGCAAATACAAAGCCTGTTAAAATTTGCTAAGATTTATCTATCGTCTCCTGACAGGAGTGTTTATAGTGAGAGGCTATTATCAAAAGCAGGAATTGTATAGGGGGAAAAGCGCAATCGTTTGTTACCAACCATTGCTCAAAAAATTGTTTTCACTCATTACAACCTGCCACTGCTTGATTTTAAGTATTAAAGTGTGATTAAAACACATGATAAATTTTGAATATATGTTTTTTTATTATTTGATATTCGGTATCATGATATTCAATTATTTTGTGAAATTACTCAACTAGTATGTTATAATTATTAATACAAAGATAAAACAAATCCTTCAAATCGGCTGGATTCGAACCAACGTCTTCCAGCAAACCGTGCCAGACGGTATGCCAAATACGCCATGGTACGAACTAGCGGACGTTACGAATTTTTCCATGTGCTTGTTGCAGAACTTTGTTTTAGGTTTTTAACGACTTTTTTGCCGCCATCTGTGATAAATCTTTTTTTTCACTCAGTAATTTCACAAAAATAATCATGGTGGTCAAACATAGTGATATTCAATAAAATAATATAATAATAAAACTTAAAAAAATATAATTATTAAAGCGACATCTCTAGTTAGCTGCTGGTAGCTGTAAAGGTACCTGGCGTCAAAGCCGTAAAAGTGACATTTTCCACAGAAAATCTCCAAATTATGTACCAGAGTTGTAAGGAATTCACCATCTTTCTGCAGATAAAACTCTTAATAAGTTCGTAGCTTTTTTGTTATTGAGCTGCCAGTGCAAAAAGATAGTGATTTTCTTATCATAGCTACATAAATTAAAGACTTTTTGTGGAAAGTGTCACTTATATGGTTTTACCTTTAAACAGATGGTATGTAATTTTTCAATTTTCGTCCATTATAGCAAAGCTCATGTTAAACTGGTCGATTTGAAGTGAAACAATTGACAACACCTGTCAATTGTTTTCAATTCGGGCTGGCCAATCGAAGCGCAGATGTCACCGTAATGATTTGGCAGAATAGTTTTCAAACAAATTAAACGACATTTCGTCTCTACTTCTGGAGTATAATGTATACATACGAGTATAATTACTGAGCGTGCGACATGTTCGAAAACTTTTAGTGTTTGTCATACTAGATCACGAAATTTGATCTCTCAACTTATCACCGATTATGTTTTTGCAGATAACATGTTCCAGGACCAACAAAAAAAACGAGCTCCTGTTATTAAATTCTTGAGACAAGTACCGAAAAACAATGTTAAAAATGTTGTCACTCATAATCCTTTGACTGAAGATAATGTTAACATATTATCAGAGACTAACAGCGAATCAGACAATAGTGGCACAAATGACAACAA